TGTCTACAAACCGGCGTCCTGGCTTGGTAGTTCCCAAGATTGTCTCGGCCCTCGACCGTATCTGCGAAGTTATCCGATTCCACTGCTCTTCAATCGACTCCTTATCATCCGTCGACACCCTCAAATCGTTAAGAGCATCTCTGACTTGCTGGCGGTGTTCGGGGAGCTTCCACCATTTGATCCTCTTTGTAGTCGTCCTTCTGGCTCGTGACCGCAAGTGGATGTTCAGTCGAAGATCCAATACAAGCAACCGGTGTTGTGGCGCAAATGCATGTGTCGCCGTGGGTATAACCTTCGCGTTCATCACCATTGGCAAGTGGCATCGGCGCAGCATCCAGTAGTCGATTTGAGTTGAGCGCTCTCCACTCGCGTACGTGATCAAATGTGACTCTCGCTTCTTGAAAAATGTAATCGCTATCGCCAAGTCGTGTGCTTCTGCTGCTTCCAGGATGCGTTCTCCATCTTCATTCCTCTGACCGTATCCGTTTCCACCATGGTATCGCTTGAATCCATAGTGTTCGTGGCCAACGTGCCCATTGAGATCGCCTCCTACGAACATGTAGTCTGCAGCGTCGAATGTCCTTAGCAGGATGTCGAAGTCCCTCCAAAACACGTCCTTCTCAGCTTCGGTACATGCGGCTTGCGGGGCATAACACGAGACTATTCGGAGCGTGGCATCATCTGCTTCGATCTTCATCGCCATCAATCTGTCTGAGATGCGCGTCACTTCGGTCACTAATTCGCGGTATCTACCGTTGACGATGATCGCGACTCCGTTCTGGCGGCTGCTATCTCCCGTGTAGTACAAGCGATATCCGTCGCCGATGTCCTTTGCCTGCCTCCCTTCCCATTTCGTTTCCTGTATACATGCGATGTCGACGTGTCGTTCCTTCAGCCTATCGCATAGTTCCCGACTGCGGCTCGTCAGCGTTCCTATATTGATCGTCGCTAGTCGGATTTCCTGGACTCGCTTCTTTGGCCTGCCTCGTCCGGGGGCAGGTAGCCCTAGCTCACTATTCGCGACATGCGGGCGATGACGCGCGTCGCCTCCGGGGGACGCCCTAGCAGCTTGACAAAATTCCTTAATAGTCCGATGCATGTGACACGACTGATTCGTACAGTCCCCGGCGCGTCGCTCCGCCTGGCGGGACAGTGCCCTCGTCGTTTGCCGGGGTTGGTCCCCGTTGCCAGCCGGCACCGCGGGGAGGTGACGATGGGACTTTGCCGGCCATTTGCTGACTACCTAAAGATGGCAAAAAACACTTGATTATTTCCATTTATGTTGACTTTGTCCGGATTACTTGACTAATATTTCAGACACTGGAGATGGCGCACAACACGAAACGTGGAAATTTCAGAATCAAAAACGCCATAGACATCATTGCTCGTGTGCTTGTAATTTTGCTTTGCTTTTCGTTGCCTTGCATTTTCATATTCCTCATGGCTCTTATCTTATCTCGCTCTACAAAAATCTCTTTTTCAATTGCTGTAGGTATTTTGCTTTTGCTTTTGTGCCTCTCGCTACATCTGCTAAATGCAATATATTATGGGCCTATTACGAGTCGTTATGTTCAAAGCATGGTCTGATGCATCCGTGATTTTCTATACTGGTATCAGTGGCGTACTCAAGATTTCCGTTCAGGGGGGACTTGGATATGCTTCCTAAAATTTTTGCGGGCGCATAGCCTCAAAAAATTTTATAAGGCTAAATGGAGTTTACAAAAGAAGTTATTATGAAAGTTATTTTTTGTTTACAAGTATAAAAAGTCACTTGCACACTTTCATAGGCATGCAAGTAACTTAAAATTTCGCAACCCATGGAGGAGTGCCCCCTCCCCCTTCGGTACACCACTGATTAATACGTTATTATCCTAGCGCATCATTCAGCAAAGATGAGAGTTTTATTGCAATTCTTCGCTTAATCAATGCCGTAACTTGGTGTTTTTGTTGTCGCAGCTTCAGTGCCATTCTCATCTAGCTAGGGCTTCGTCAATGTTTTTTTCTGCTATTTCAAAAATTTCATGGAATACACAGTTAAGAGTTCTGATCCATTGATTGCTTCGTCGTACCTCACAAAAGATCATCCTGCTACCCATCTCCGATCTTCGCTTTTCAACTTTTAATTGCAACACGTCAAACTTAAGAAGTTGATAGAGTTCCGATTGAGTCTAAGGAGAGGATGACTCAAGTCGTGATTAGGATTTGTGTGTTATTTTTTGTGACTTTCGAATAAGCTAGAGGAAGGACGGAAGAAACATTTCAATACCTGAACGTCTCTCTCCAATATAATGCTGTTTTGAAGTTCTTATTTCCTTCTTGTTTCTGTATTGCTGAGATCTTTAGTTGAAGCTACGGTATACCCTTTTATAATTAACCTTCAAAAAGTATCGATATAACGATTTTTCTTTTGAAATTCCTTCTTTGGTGTTTCATCGAAAATCAATTTCCCATTATATGTTATTTAGCAAAAATTAAGAACTGAAGGATGTCAATAGCTGATGCCGAATTACACAAAAGTGGAGAAGATTCAAATTTTTTGGTCATGTGGAGCTTAGACTGATGTCGGAAAGCAAAATAGTGTTTGTTATTGTTAACGTTGTTAGTGTTTGTGATCTCTAACAAGGGAAGTCACTTAACTTAGGTCGGGCTTTTAAAATGTGACACATATGGTTGGAATCAGTTTGAAACACTGATTTCAAGGGACGCATGCACTAACATCCCCGCGGGGAGGGGATCGCAGCTTAAAAGAAAGCTTTATATTTCGAAACTCCAGATACCTGAATTTCACGTTGTGTACCTATCCGTAAGTATTCCTACTACCCTTCACTATGAACATGTTGAAGAGGAGCGAAAAGCTATACGAACCGCACTTTCCAGCTTTTGTATGATCCCTGATGATCCCCGGCGCTTTTCTTTGAAGTTATTTTTCTTTCTCCGAAGTGAACAAATAACCTCCAAAGTTGTGCAAATTATCTAACCCGACAGTGCTAAGCATGTTGCTGATAAGAACAAATGATGTTTTGAAGTCATGAAATTTTCGATGATCCATAGGTTGAAATTTGAGGTTTACCGAAAAATTCGACTTTTCAAAAACTCATTTGTTCTCATCAGCAACATTCTTAGCACTGTTGTGTTAGATGTTCAGTACAACTTTGGAAGATTTTCGTTAACTTCGGAGAAAGAAAAGTGACTTCAAAGAAAAGCGCCGGGGATCATCAGGGATCATACAAAAGCTGGAAAGTGCGGTTCGTACAGCTTCTCGCTCCTCTTCAACATGTTCATAGTGAAGGGTAGTAGGAATACTTACGGAGACGTACACAACATGAAATCCAGATATCTGAAGTTTCGAAATATAAAGCTTTCTTTTAAGCTGCGATCCCCTCCCTAGCGCGGAGGTTAGTGCATGCGGCCCCAAATCTGCTTTCCTTAGCTGCGAAGCGTTCCTCTGAAGCGAGTTATGAGCTTTTTCCTTAGCAAATTTTGCGTGTTGACCGACTTAGGCATGCTACGGTATCATCATCTAGGTATTGGTTCAAACGCATATTATACCCTGTCAAAGCCAAATGACTCAATTTGTTGTTGTTTTGATTATCTACCACTTTTTGGGGAGATTTTCATCTAAAGACCTTCTTTCCATATTCAGTTGTATGTCAATAACACATACTAAAAAAGCTCATAACTCGCTTCAGAGGAACGCTTCGCAGCTAAGAATAGCATATTTGGAATCAGCGTTCCGAGCTGAATCGAAATATATGTGTCTCATTTCAAAAGCCCGACCTAAGTTAAGTGACTTCCCTTGTAAGATCCGTGTGCACGTATATCCCCGCTGGGAGAGATGAGAACTAAGATGGGATGCATCATATCTTACCACTCTGCTATCTTTCTTCTTCTTTCCCTATCTTGCTTATGAACGTTCTCATACACTTTGAACTGCGCATAATAGATATCAGGTCACTGCATGACTGGTTTTTTGTCATTTTTTGTGATCCCTTGGGGATCTCCAGCGGATCACCTCCATTTCCAAAGTAATTTACCTTTCTGAGAAGTCAATGAAAACGGTGCAAAATTGTACTAGGATATAACACGGCACTGCTAAGCATTTTTTCGACAGGAGAAATGGAATCTGAAGATTGTGAATTTTTTAATGATCCCTATCTCGCGAGCCAGGGATTACCGAAAAATTTTATATCATGAGATTTCACTTATTTCTACTATAAACATCTTCAGCAGTGCCGTAGTATATCAGAGTACAATGTCACAGCGTTTTCATCGAGTATTCTGAAAGATGGATGGCATTGGAATTGAGAGGTGACCCTCCGGGGATCTTTTGAAGATCCCCAGGGGATCGCACAGAATAGCGAAAATTTAACCAACTACGCCACTAACTTGGCAATAATGCGCAGTATTAGGTATGAAAACCTTCATAAGCATAGAAGAGGAAGAAGAGAGATACCTAGAGTAGCGAGATATGAGGCATCCCCTCTCAGATTCCCCCCCTTCCCCCCCGCGGAGATGTACGTGCACACAGGCCTAAGAATCTGTTAATGTTATATTGATATATGGCGGGAAAAGAGCGCTATTTAAAGCGCTCCTTTTTAGATTACTTATTAGAGAGTCAATCGACTCCTCATTCATATCCAGCAACTAATTAATCTAAATGGTGTCCTAAAAGTAAGTACACACTCTTTGTTCGTTAATTCTCTTTTCAAGAAAAGAGATATTAACGATTTATAGGGCTGGCTTTAACTTAGATTTACAATATGAAGCAAACCAGCGACTTCTCATTACTGTAAGAGTAGGGTAGGAACTTTTGGCTTACAGGGTCATTGTGGATTAGTCGTGTTTTACAGAAAAAAACTCATATATATTCTGAAAAGTGGTGTATTTTAGATTTTGCCCGCGCTGATTAGAAGTCTGTAAAGCTTGATTTCTCATTGCTCACTCTCAAAAACGCGTTCCTTATCACTGCACATTGATGTTGTAACATTTATCAATCTTATTTACATAATGGCACAGTTTGAATTTCTCCGAGAAGTTGATAACGGTCGATCCACCCATCCTTCACGAACTGGCAAGCGGAAATTGGGATTTTGCTCTCGCACATTGGCATTCTCGTCTCGATATCGTAATAATTTTTCCAAAATATATGCAAACGGATGCATCACATTGAAGTCTTCCTTCGCGGACACTCTAAAAATAAAAACAGTGTAGGAACTGGGATTGAAATAAGAAAATAGTTGAAATCAAACATTGGACAATCTACATAAAAAAGTGTAGATAAAAGTAAGGTATTTTGACACAAATAAAGAAAAAATCTCTTGTGAAACCATTGAGACTTTGCTATCTACTCATATATCCACTGAGCTTGCAAGAGGTAATGCTGTTTAAGGAGAATTCTTGCAACTCATGTCAGAAAGTTCAGGAAAATTGCTGTAATACTGAAACATTCGAGTTTGCGGAACATGAATAATCTACAAAGTTTGGTGTTGCTGTACCAGCAACTATAAAAATGCATGAAAGGCAAGCTGGTATCAGGTCGAGTTCGCTCTGTTGCAAAAAGTGCTGGTCAATGTGACCTTGAATAGATGTTTATACAAATAATAAGTCCTCTCGAGAATTTTTGCAAAGACCTTTTACAAAAAAAATGCTGCGGAAGAGAACATGCAACGAACGTTTAGCTTTTCTTTCTTGTTTCCATAGTGCTCAATAAATCTTGGCTTCACACATGTGTCAACGTTCATCAAAGGTAGAAAGCGTTTTCATCAAAAAACAGTTATCAAGATGGAACGTGCTCAGAAATAGTGTCAGGGGTTTATAGTACAAACTTAGGGCCCAGCACGAGGGTATCGTGGATATCGCTGAAACGACTTCTCCTCCGCCACTATCGATATTTACGATTTCCCACTTGATCCTGCCAACTGCATAGGTTGTTCGATTGAAGCGCGTTTCTTCCTGAGAAAGACCGGCGTCGCTGCTGCTTCGGATCCTAACAAGGGGGTGTTGTGGAACCAAGATGTTACTATATACAGGGTGTCCCAAAAAGATGTGCACACTGTTTGATCGTTAATGACTCTCCTGTTTTCATGTCTTGTCGAGCATGAGGTAAAGTTCTGTAGAGCGAGAATAAACTTAGATTTACAGTATGGAACGAATCATTAATCGCTCTTCGTTACTGCAGGATTACGGTATGATTTCAGCATACAGAGTCACTGTGAAATAAGCCTTTTAATAAAATAATTTCGAAAAAATCTAAAAATTTGTGTAGCAAAATTTTCGGGCATGCTGATTTCACTACATAACTTTCCACCAGCTTTTCGAGTTTTCTTGATGGCGTATTCACATTTTTGACAAACACTGGAAAATTAGTTGTTACCCTAATAACGCAAATGTGAAATAACGCATGAAAGAAACAATGTATTGACGTGCAATTTTCATATTTAGAATCGGCAACTTCGAATAACCCAGTTCAAGAGTTTCCGGCTTGTTTGGCTTTTTTTCTGGGGCAAAATACCCTTTCAATGGCATACAATTCTCTTCGAAATTCCTACCGTAATCCTACCAGATGAAGAGCTGCTGATAAGTCGCTCCATACTGTAAATCTAAGTTGAACCTCACTCTAAAAATGGTACCTCAAGCTCGGCAAAAGACATGAGAGCAAAGGAGTTATTAACAATCAAACAGTGTGCACATCTTTTTGGAACACCCTGTACTAAACTTTGGGTGTAGAAAGATTCATGTAATTTTTGAAAAACTTACGTGAAATGGAAGATTTGTGCAGGTAGGTATTAACGGGCAATGCCCACCTAATCTGGAAAAAAGGTGAACACGCTCTCTATTCGCATACATATGTTTTTCATAATTTTTCATACTTTGTTCCTTAGCCCTGCTGCGCGTGTACGCACCAATTTCTTGCAAATGAGAACATTCTGTGGTAGTAAGAAAATTTCAGATAAAAGCTTGCCACAACCTTCAGCCACAAATTTTTCCGCAATATTCTGCACTATGCTCCTCGTGGTCCATGTCCGTTTATATTCCAATTTCTTCGTCATATCATATCATATTATAAGTGCGCTATAAGCGAGATATTCACTGAACACTCAATGAAAAAAATTTCGATTTCGAAGATGACGCGCGAGCACGATCGTGTCTTTGCCTGTCAGTCACGTGAAGTCGGTTGGACGCACGCGAGCGTGTTTGCAAGGGGAGAGTACGGGCGCTATGCGACCCATGCGCGCAACCAATGTTAGCGCGCAAGAGACACGCACGTGGGCGCTTAGTGCGGGCGATTCCGTGCAGTCAACTATAGCAACTTCTCGAGAAAGTGTACGTACATGTAAAATATATTTACGATATCCTCTTTACTGCTATCTAAAACGAATTCCAGCTTGACATTTGCCCACTCGTGCCAGGCCCTGAACAAAATACTTCAAGGATGCCCGTACACCCCGCGGGGGAGGGTAGGGGATCTGAGAGGGGAAGCGTCATATCTCGCTAGTCTACATATCTTTCTCCTTCTTTCTCTATCCTGCCTATGAAGTTTTTCATACACTGATACCTGCGCTAACGGATGCCAGCTTACTGCCATATAAGATTAAATATTCACTATCTCGTCTGATCCTCTGGAGATCCCCAAGGGATCACCCCACATTTTCAAAGTCATTTATCTTCCTGAAAAAACAATGAAAACGCTGCAAAATCATACTGAAGATATACTACGATACTGCTGAGCATGTTTTCCACAAAAGAAATGGAATTTGAAAATTTTGGTCTTTCGATAATCCCTGGCTCGCGAGCAGCGGTTCATCGAAAATTTTGATATCTTGAGATATATTTCACTCATTTCTAATATAAACATGTTTAGCAGTGCTGTAGTATATCCTCAGTACAATTTCAGAGCACTCTCACTGAGTTTTCAGGAAGATTAATGACTTTGAAATGTGAGGTGATCCCCTGGGGATCACCAGGAGATCACACGAAATAGTGAATAACTAATCTTGTATGGCAGTAACCTGGCATCCGTTATGCGCATGTATCAGTGTATGAGAACCTTCAAAAGCAAGACAGCGAAAGAAGAAGAAATATATATAGACTAGCTAGATATGGCGTTTCCCCTCTCAGATCCCCTCCCCCCCCCCCAGCTGGGATGTACGTGCATACGGGCCTAAGAGTATCCTATACTATTGTCCTATCTCAATTTCAGTGTAGAACATTTAACCTCTAATTTAGCAAAAATGCCAAATAATTCTAAGAGTTCCATAATTTCATGACAGAGCGGTTTTGTGTCATAAGGTTTAATAAATTTAATATGTGATAGGAGTGATTATGAGCTATCAAAGAATTAGACTGAAGTGCCGATGACATTTTAGTTCAACTCAATTAAAAAGATTCTGGTAAAAAAAATGATATAACAAGGTGCATTTGGCAGCAAAAATATTAATTATTCTATACGATTGTTGCTTCGAAATTGAAAATTACAAAACTCACCTGTATAAGCGCATCCTCGCATGTCTCACAGCTGTTTCGATAACGTCTTTGTTGGAAAAGTCGTAATTATCAATTAAGTCAATCTTATTCTCTATCAGTACAACTGGCAAAAAATCACAATCTTGTACATCGCGAACAACTTCCATAGCATATTGGAAACTCTGAAAACATCAATTAAAGAAAATTGGAAAAATAAAAACCTATCAAGGCAGCATTTAGAGTTGGTGTGCCGACGCTGTGCCAAAACCGTTCCAGCGCGGTGTCTGACGTGGACGCGCCCAAAATTGATCTGTCGACGTTCCAGCACAACGCTGGCACGGCATCAACCACCTCTGGACGGAGTTTCTAAAGGACCATTTTAACCTAGTTTTGTGAAACTTGCCTTAAAATTATCCGATGCGAAAACAATAATGACTGCGTCATATTCAGAAACGTACTCTGGTTGCCACTGAAATATGTTTTATTAGAAAAGATTTTCTTGAAGTCTAGGTTGTTAGCACCTTATCCTTTATCCGTACATCAATTCGTATATTTTCTCCATATAGCTTTAAAACAGTCGTTCCCTCGGAGCCATGTCCTTCAAATAAAAAGCAGTTGAGCAAGGTGGCTTTCCCCGTCTGGAAAAATTATTTCCTACGTCAACCCATAAGTCATTTATTCTCAGCTTTTGACAAGATGCCAACTTACCCCACTTCCGCCGCAGATGAGCAATCGGAAATGCTTGTCGTAGTCGTTATCGTTCATTATGCTGAAAAATGTGTAGGTGATAGTAGCTCAGCACATTATCGAATCTAGCAATTAGGGGAAATGTCGCTGGATGTCAGCAGAGGTGAAAAAATGAAGCGCTGAAAATCTTTTGTAATGAGGCTGTGAAGCATCCTTCAAAGAAGAAAAAAAAAGGAATCGATGATACAAGGAAATTTCCTGCGAAAAGCTGTTAGGACGGCAAAAAACGTGGAGATCGTCCGAGATTGACTAACAATAAGTTACTGAATATTACTTGATTATTCTGGATTGTTGTTGCGCAGATGATAGTATAAAAAGAACAAAACACTTTTTCTCAATAAGGATCTTTCCTAGCAAACCCTCTAAGCGCCTTATGTGTATGATTTTCTAACAAAGTCGCATCATTACTTTTTGTTGTGGAACAAATTTCCGTTCGTTTCCGGTGAGACTAGGCAGAAATTTCCATGACTGGCTAAGACTGAGGAAGAGAAATCAAGCTGAATATTCAAAGAAGCGTTCGAACTCAGAAGAGCACAGCTTTGAACAATAATAAGATTCGAAATCTGAAAATTCGTAGTAATTCTCCCTTTAAAAAATAGTGTTGGCGGATTAACCTCACTGTTGTGAGAGAAAATTGATTTTACAAATCTTTGTTCTACTGTTCTGTTAGGTTGGTCCGAAAGTTCGTTCGCACAATTTACAAGAAATCATAACTTCCTCCCTCACAATGATTTTGTGCAATTAAAATTTATTAGAAAGCGTAAAGCATGTAGTTCCCAAATGTCTCCTGGGGACTTCCAACATGCTCAGGATGCAGAGATAAAAATGAAAGAACGAAATCATCCGAAATTCGGAATTTTTAAGCAAAAATTCTAAAAATTCAGAAACTGTGCGATAAAATCCAGAACAGCCATCATCCTAAGTTTTCTTATATTTTATAACTGACTGAGTCAAGTTTGTGCTGATCGAGGTCTTTTTTTCAGAAGTTATGATTTTTTGAAAAAAGATGCCAAAAAATCAATTTCTTAAGAATTCCTAGGAAATTGATTTTTCGGCATTTTTTTTCAAAATCATAACTTTTGAAAGAAGAGCTCGATTAGCACAAACTTAGCACAGTTAGTAATAAAATATAAGAAAACTTAGGATGATGGCTGTCCTGAATTTTATCGCACAGTTTCTATACTTAGAATTTTTGCTTAAAAATTCCGAATTTCGGTTGATCTCGTTCTTTCATTTTTATCTCTGCAACTTGAGCATGTTGGAAAGTTCCCAGGGGACATTTGGAAACTACATGCTTTACGCTTTTCAATAAAATTTGAATTGCGCAAAATCATTGTGAGGGAAGGAAGTTATGATTTCTTGAAAATGGTGCGAACGAACTTTCGGACCAATCTAATATTCTACAAACATTTTTGTATAGCCTCAGTTTTGATTTCAGCATAGTTTGAGACTGACTTTTGAAAATTTCGTTTTGGACTTTTGAAAAAGGTGGGATAATATTTGGATAGAGTCAACAAAATACTACAAAACCCAGTTTTTTGGCATCGATAGGTGGCTTTTGATTATTTTTGAAAACAAGATTTCAAATAGTCTCCACATCTGCAAGGTCGTAAAATTTACAAACGCTTTAGACACTGTGAAATCTTCGCAAACAGGAAACTTCCAAACGGCTATGACCAAACACTAATTTTAACGAACCCATGAATCTCTATCACCTCGAAATATCGGTTTTTGAATTTTCGGGTGCAGCCTGGCAAGATCAAAAAACTAGTATTATGGCAATTTTCTCCTCGAGGCCTTTACGAACAGGAGGATCTGTCAAAAAGAGGAAGAGAAGCTGAATCGAATGACACCCTAACTGTACCGTCTGATGTTCTACGAGGTTTGGGCAAACAAGTATCATATTTGGTAGCATCAAAAAAAAAACAATTTTAGAAAATTTGAAAAGCCATTCATCGATGCAAAAAAATTGGGTTGTGTAGCATTTTGTCCACTCTATCCGACATTATCAAAGCGTTTTCAAAAGGTGGAAATAAAACCTTCGAAAAGTAGCAGAAGTTAGGGTAGGTATAATAAAAACCATGGACTGAAGATTTCGACGAGTTTCAAGCAAACATCAAAGGAATCCGAACAAGAACATTACTGCTAGAAAGAGGAAAAAATCCTGCAGACTCCTTCTAGATTGTTTGTCTATCTCTATTCTGGACGATTTGATACGTCTCAAAAACGGCACAAACTTTCGGATCCTAGTAGTTTAGAATATCAGATTGATGCTTAACTTTGCCTAAAACACTGTAAACTGGACAATGATGCCGAAGTTTCCTTACGGGCTTGCGAGAAAATGAAGATGACAAATTCCAGCCACTATAAAGGGACGCATCAAGCATTACTAAGCATACACGAAGAAAACATGCCACGCGTCATTTGACATCTCCGACATTTGTGGAAAATTGCTTCCTGTTGTTGTCAGGATTTGACAAATTGGGCTGTAATTACCTGAATTGCATCACAGTAGTAGCATAAATATATACGGAATTTTTTTATGACTACATTTTGCAGTAAAGCTTTACGGGGCTGAGAAAGCGGTAACTCCTTGCATGTAGCGGTGAAGCGGTGAGGTGAAGGTGGAATTTGCACAAAAAATCGCACAAAAATCGCTTGGTCAAGATCTTTTGGTCTACAAAAAATTTCATTACCCTGCATTTCTGTCTTCTATAATTTCAGAATAAAAACTAAGCTATCAAAAAGCTCAAAGATAAGATTTCTTGAATTCTATTCCTTCTAGGCATTCTACTTGACTTAGAGTTTTACCATACAAAAATTTGAGGCGAAATATTCTCAAAATGTATATGAAGCCGTGAGAAGATGTGCGAAAGTTTCATATTTTTAATTTGTATGGAGGCACTTACAGGAGCCTCGTTATGCAGCTTAACAATTTACTAGTGATACATCCTGAACAGCTGGAAACGATTTGATTGTATTACAGGAAGGCGAAGTAGGACTGAGAGCAAATTCAAGTTAAAAAATTATTGACACAATTTAGATATTGGGTTGGCTAATAAATAAGTTCGGTCGTTTTTGCAAATGCTGCAGATAAACTTTTGTCTTTGGTATCTCTGGAAAGAGCACTCCAATAAAAATTGGAATATAAACTCTGTTTGTGTAGAACTTATCTTCCAAGGAGTCAAATCCGCGTAGTGACCTCAATATTTTCATAGTTAAAGATTTACAAAGTATCAGAAATATTCATCGTTATTAACGAACGGAAAACTTCTCCGTACCCAAATACCAAGCTGGTATTCTCTACATCCATCACAGCATGAATAAGCTTTTGGGAACTTAGCCATGCTGAGGCATAACTGTCTTTACTTATAATAAAAAATCCCGAATATTTGAAATGTGATAGAGAAAGCTCCAAATTACTTTCCCACGAAGAATCATGGATAAAAACAAAAAGAAAATTTTCGATGTGAATTTTTTTTGAAATTTGCATGCCAAAACACTTATTTTTTAGCCAACCTAGTGGTATAAGATAGGTTCTTGGCAATGAAATTCGTTGGGGCATCATATCTAAGCCAAAAAGTACTCTTCATTTTGCAAGAAAAGAAGCCAAATGTTGCAAATTTGCTTGAAATGACTGGCTCCTTTGAAAACTAGGAAACACTGTCACAATTTGTAAATTTACCAAATCGTCCTTAAACGCAAATGTGGAAGAAAGTTGAATATCCTAGCAGATGAAGCCAAATTACTTGGAACTAATGCATGGCTTTACTACAATATCAATCAATTACATTTCCATTGCTTTTTGTTTAGTTAGAAAAAGGTAGAGTAGAAGTGTTGATTGGCTTCAAATTGAGCTTATCCTATTTCTTTAATATATGCAAGAACAAGAAAGAAAGCGGATGAGCAGTCACTCAAGCAAGCCTGATTAGTGAATGGGGGGGGGGGGGGAGAGAAGGAGGTAGCGTGAACGGTTGCGGCTCGCACATACTAAAAATAAAACATGCTATTTATCCTAAGGATTGTGAAGAATAGTCTCGGATTATCTAATGAAAGCGTAATTTGTGTAAATCGAAACATTTACGTCAATACTAGAAAAAATACGACTCACTAACGAAACTTATAACTTCAGTTCTCGTCGCCTTTGATTGATTAGTCCTCGTCGACATGATTATTATGAAATTTTGAGCAAAACATGGATGTTGACATCATAGAGATTATTTGGAGAATTTTGCAGGTATCAGCTGATTTAAACGTCATTGAGAGATGAATCAAAAACTAATATCGTCAAAAGTCGACGGATGATTGTTTGTTGTTTTGCTTTTTACACTCTACTTGATAACTTTTCTCCGGTGGAAAACTGTAAATCGACATAGTGTGAGAGGGAAATTACGAGTTTTTTGCAAATCTATTGCAGAGAATCATATTTCCTGTAGTAGAATATCGCAGGACGAGGCCATTCAACTTTTTGAAACGCTTGGATGTTTCACATAGCCGCAAAAAAGCTAAAAATGCACTCTTTTTGAAAACACAGTCAATTACTTGGGGAATAAAGGCTAATTTGAGAAACATTTGACTTTGGATGCAACCATTTCTGCCATAATAAATATACCATGAATTCGAGGCGAAGGAAACATAGAGAACAGCTATAGAAATGTATAGTGCAAGCGGAAAAATTGCCCATAAGCTTTATTTTATCACTACTTGCTCATAGAAAAAATTTTTTGTAAGTCATGGATGGAAACTAGCTAAACGCAAACATGTGGTTGTCCAACTGGACGCCAATCAAGCTATCTTGACTATCCGTTAGTGGAAAATTTCTAGCTTCCTTCTTAGTTATCTTGAAAACTTTCAATAAAGTAAAGTATCCGCGCACTCTTAGTTGAAATAAGGAAAAAATCTTGAAGTACCTATAAACAGAAGAAAGTAAGACGAAAGTCGATAATTGCCATATTTTTTCTTACGTAATAATTTGTTCAAAATTTCCTTGCCCAAAATTAAGAATGCTCATTGCTTAT